TTATTCTTTTATTATTTTATAATTTATAATTTTCAATGCAAGAATGTGCTATTTGAAAGTACTAATTTTAGTATTAAGTGATCGCTATGTCTGATGTTCTTTTGAATACAGAGTATCCAATCTCTAATATACGTAATTTGAGTTACACCACCACTATCTTGCAAGAAAGGCACACGCTTTCCTCACGCAGTATGGCCCGCTTGATTCCAGTTGTGATCTGTTCAACCACGTTAGTTCGAGGAGGTTTTGTTTCATTTACGAACGAAATCGTGCGCAAATAATCCAAAATACATCATGGATGACGAATGGGGTACGTATATATTGATTTTCAGACATTTAATCGTTACGTGATCACACCTTGATTTAAAAACCTGAAACCATTTTAACCTTCAACTTTACAGATGTCGAAAACGCTGAAGCGAAATTCGACCTCGCTATCAGATCCAACAAGTGGGAGGGTGAAGATGAAGACGAAGACGTGAAGGTTCTGTCTTACAAAATTCTTTTTTAATTTTGCCTGGACTGTTTTCAAAATGTTGCATTAGATCGACGGATTATAAGTATGGTTAACCTTTCATAGAACAAGTCAACATGAGATTAATAGCAGGATAGTTGATTAATGTTAAACAGATTTGAAGTTTATCTTCAAGTCTGAATTAAGTTAAAAGTAAAATTGAATTAAGTAAAATAAATTTTAAGTTGAACTTTATGCTTATAGCTATATCAATGAGTATTGTATTAACCTACAATATTGTATGAATTTTGTGTTATGTAGTTCTTCAATTTATGAGTTGAGTTTTATATATAGAGCTAGATAGATTAAATTTAACTCAGATTTAAATGGTTATAAACATAATTGTACAATACTTCATTATAACATAGTTTTTTATTTTGGAATAAAATAAAATAATTGAATAATATTATAACTGCATTAGGCTTGATAACTATACAGGAAAAAATGAAGTCTGCTTTAAATAAAGTTCAGTAATTCGTATTTTGAATGACATATAAAATACTTTTAGTATTATGCAAAATCTAAATGACATTACAGTGATATTTCTCTACAGTTAGAAGGGATAATGTTGAATTAAACTTTGAGTAAGTAATTTAAAATTTTTTTAAGTTTTCATAATGATTTAAAAAAAAAAAAATTAACAGGATAGTTGGGAAGATGTTGAAGAGGAAAAGAAAGATGTAGAAAAACCTGCAGAAATGCCTAAGGCTAAGCCAAAGCCAAAAAAAGCTTTGGCAGAAAGAATTGAAGAGCGTGAGGTATATTTTTAACCTTTAATTAAATGTGCTTTATTTATAATTATATTACCTAAGTAATAATTAAAAAAATGAGATATTTGATTCACTTATTTAGTTTTTTATTTGTTCTCAATTGTATTATATATAAATACAAATTTACATATTCATTCTATCTCTGACTTTTACTACTTTTACACAGATTGATTTATATTTGTTACAACTAGATATTGTCACTTACATCTTTTTACTGGCATTTAATTTAAATACTCATTATGTTAATATATGTTTTTCCTTCTCTTTGTCATAGAAAAAGGCAAGGGAAGAGGTAGAAAGGAAAGCAAAAGAGAAAGAGGAAGCATTGACACCAGAGGAGAGGAGAGTAGAACAATTAAAGCGTCAGAGGCTCCAAGAAGAAGCTGATCTACGTCTTGCCATGGAAACTTTCGGTTTGTCCAACCTTGTTGATTTTTCTCATCGCAAGCCGCACAAAACCGAGAAGAAATGACTTCACTAAAAATTTTTACTTATTAACTTTTTGCGCTACTATTTCAATTTAACACTGTAAATTTTAAATAACTTATAAAATTATGTAGTCATTTCATTAATATTTGATAAGATGAGAAGAATACTATTTTCCCTAAAAGTATTAAAATTAGTATTTTACTTACAAAGCATTAGAAAAAATGTATTAATTTATTTTTTTTTTTTTAGATATTTAATTCTACTATTATAAAATTAATGGTGTTTCGTAATTTTGCATAAAATTACTCTAAATTGTAGTATAGAAAAATGCTTAGATTATTAGCATATAAAGTTAAATATAAAATTATAGTTATATTTGTTTGTTTCAACTTTGTTTAATTTTATTTTAAATTCAGATTCAAATTTTGAAGTGGATTTTATAATATATTTGTTTCACCATGGAATCTCAAATTTTAGTTTATCTGATATTCACATGTTTATTAAGTTTCAATTATGTGAATTTATAAAATTGCAAAATTTTTATTTTAAAATGTTCGAAATTTA